AGGGCTGATAATTTTACTAATATTAAATTATATCTTATCTTTTACATATTTATTTATATTTCTTATTGAAAATTATTTTTCATTTAAAAAAAATATTGTTAAGATATATTTGTTATTATACCTGTTTACAGGTGTATGTATCACAACAAAGAAGTTCCCTTGGCGAAACTAATTAGTATCATTAGTATAGTTTATGTGGAAATAATGATAATAATATAGAATTTTTAGATTGATGAATTCACTCATTATAACAGTTCTACATTAAAAACTAAATATAACTTTATGTATTAAAATATAAATAAGTCTAATGACTTGATTTGAAATTCTTAATGAAAATAATTAATTGATTAAATATAATATAGTAAATATAACATTATTAATCATTTTTTAATTGTTAGTATTTAGAAGAGGAAATATAAATATAATAGTTTATTATAATTTATATCAGAAATATTTCATATTTAAAATATGTATTAAGTTTTATATTCAACTTAATTTTTATTTTAAATATTCATTTTATTTTTTTTAAATATATTCTATGCATTTTAGTTTAATAATATTAATAAAAAAATTAATATAATTTATTTCTTATTAATTTATTGCATATAAATAAATATAAATTTATTTATTCTTTGTTAATTTCATAGAATTCTATGTTTTTACATTTTTCTATTTTAGTTTTTTCGTTCAGTCTAACTAAACTGTTGAAGCATAACTGTAATTTTAATTCACAATTTTGTCATTTGGATTATTCATTAAATTCATTCAAAAACTTTTTCTAAACTACTACAAGAGTAAAATTAATTTTTAAGTAATTTTAATTGCCACTGACTAAAATTATATTAAGTCATAAGCTTAAATATGATAATATTTTACCTTTATTATAAACAATTGCATGTATTTAAACCATAGATCTCACTTTTAAGCAAATATGTTGTATAATTAATTCAAAAATATTTATCGTTGAGTTCTCTGAATTTTTTTTTCTTTGTTATTTGCAAAACAGTTTTCTAATACCTAATCTTTATTCATGGCATGTTTTTTGAATTTGTTAAGAATACAAAACACTATCATACAATGGCAAATGCAGATAACCTTGCAACCAAACCCTTAAATATATTGTTTGATGTTATTGTTAGAAATAAAAATCTTATATACTGTATAAAAGCGTTGAAACCAATCTATGCTGCTTTGTATCTGAAATATCTTTCATAAATTGATTATTTATTATTATATTGGCTTATATCTTCAAAAAACTTCTTAAATTTAAACTAAATTTAACTTCTTTAGCTTAATATATATATATATATATTTAAATTCAATATCATTTTTAAATGTTACATTACAAATATTATGATGTACTGTACAATTAAATAAAATTCTTATACAGTTTAAGCTATGCTGTAATGTTAAATATCTGAATATTTTACACAATTTGATGCTGAAACAATATGATTTATAAGACAGAATATCTTATCATCCACCTAAATCACTGATGCTATAGGATATTTATTATTAACTTCATGGTCTTTGATAAATTATAACGTTTCTTCAATGTAAAGGTAGTCTGATATTAGTAAAGGGTTGATCACCCTAACTACGAGTCAACACCACAAGAATTATTTAGGTGTTCAATTTAAATTTATAATTATTCTTTAAAATTCAAGAAGTTAATTTGTACTGTACTTAAACTTTTTATTTATTAGAGCTTAACTTCGGAATATATTTTCGTATAGAATTAAAAAAGAAAAAAAACAATTATCGAGACAAATTTTTCAATGTTTCATCATTCTACATTCAACACATTTAATTAATGTCATTGATAAATCGAGAGGAGGATGACTAGGATAACAGCTCTACTCATTCTTAGATTTATATCTGTATTGACAAAATAATTAGAAAAACTAGATTTGTACAGTTAATTTGCAAATTTAATTATTATTTATAATTTATTTTTCATTAAAAACTAATACAAAATTAGTTTATTTAAATACTGCAAGCAATAAAGTGGAAGACAAAAAATATTGCCCCTTAAAATATATATTTATATTTAATTCTGTAGTAAACAAGTTATGTGATTTTTTTTAATGTTTGCTCCAGGTGATTGAATATTAAAATCTTCATTACATAAAAATATTTTAGAGAAGTTATTTTTAAAAATATTTAATATTATACAGTCAAAAATGAATATTTTGTAATTATTTATTCTTTGTTTAATAACACATATTTTCTTACAGAGAATGGTAATTCGTATATTTATTTTATAAAATCACATTTGATTTTATAATGACATTTCTTGACGTTTGTATTTATAGAAAATTTATATNTATAAAGTTAATAAATTTTCTTATTCGTAAATAAAAGTGACACATACGATGCACGTAATGAATGTAAGTTATCTCAGAGGTAATTTAATTGATTAAAATTACTTATTTAATTTATATAATTTTATGTACTGTATAAAACGTGTAGTACGTAAAAATATATACTAGACGAATATATATATATATACTTGAATATTTTATGTGATTATTTATTTTTAAACAGAGCAAAATGAAAATAAAAGTCTGTATTAAAGCAGTTTCGTTCTGCAACATTTCTTAATCAGGTTTGGGTAGTTTATTACTTGAAATTTATTCTGAAAGTTTTTATATGGAAACTTTTAATATAAAAATTTATGAAAATAAACATTTTGATAAACATTTATCAAAATAATTAATATATTAAAAAATGCAAAAAATTAAATTAAATTTGTAAGCAATGCTCAAATATGCTCGATGTTTATGTTGAATTTATGGAATTTTAATTGATTTTTTTCTATAAATTGTAGAGGTATATTTTAATGGAATCTATTATTTCGAAAGTATAATGTGTGTGTATATATATATTATAGTTTAACATGAAATTGATTTAGTTTGAATCAGGTTTAAGGTATCTATCATCTCAAAGTTAATTGCATCTAGAACAATACTTATACTCATCTTTCCTCTTCCATTTTCCAATACAATGAAAGATTTTATATTATTTAATACAGAAATTGACTTCTGATTAAAGGCTGTATAACAGCTGTATATGGAAATTATCCCGAAATAGTTCGCGGAAAAAAACGAATATTTTTCAAACCGGAAGCAGAAGAATATAGGCCAAGCGGCATTCGATTCTACGTCACAGTTACCACAGAGACACGTGCTTTTAAGAATTTTTATTAATTTAAATTGTTTTTAAATGTTAAAATTTTGATTAACAAACGTTTAAAACTAGACAAAAAATATTGCCCCTTAAAATATATATTTATATTTAATTCTGTAGTAAACAAGTTATGTGATTTTTTTTAATGTTTGCTCCAGGTGATTGAATATTAAAATCTTCATTACATAAAAATATTTTAGAGAAGTTATTTTTAAAAATATTTAATATTATACAGTCAAAAATGAATATTTTGTAATTATTTATTCTTTGTTTAATAACACATATTTTCTTACAGAGAATGGTAATTCGTATATTTATTTTATAAAATCACATTTGATTTTATAATGACATTTCTTGACGTTTGTATTTATAGAAAATTTATATCATGCTCAAATGGTTTTAGATTTCCATAGCTTGAAACTTTGATATGAAAATTAAAAAGGAAAATTGTCTAAGCAGAAGATTATTTTCTATTTTTATTTGAATATTATTAAAATTTATTTAGCTTTATGAAAACTTAATAAGAAAAAATCAAAGGTAATGATGGCAAGAAGAAGTATAAAGCATCAGTAGTTATCAGTAGACAAAAAGGGAAATTGCCTGGGGCCCCCAAGCCAATCTTTTATAAAGAAAAAAAATCTGTTTCCTCCAAAACATTATCCGAATAAAAATGTCTAAAGTCAACATTGTACGTAAGGCCCCTAATTCAAATTTGCTTGGGGGCCCACGCGCCACTGTAAAGCATCATTATATTTTGGGATGAGTAATGCTTTCAAGACCCTACTCTTAGTGATCATAATCATTCAAAATTAATGTATTTTCTGAATATAAAAATAAATAAATAAAACATGAAAGAAATGTTTTACTTCGAAAGAACTTATTTTTTTTTTAAAAAAAAGAGCGTGTTTTTCCACTGTATATTATATGTAAACTTGAATAATTATAAGAAAAATTATACCAGTAGATCTATTAATTGATTTTAAAGTTTTTAAATTGAATTTTATCGAAAAATATTTAGGTATAAAGGTGAAGGCAAATCGAATTTTTATAAATCAAAAATGCTTATTAATTTTTTTTATTCAACATTGACCCGTGACATTCAGTAAAATTCTCTAAACATAAGAAGATGATGCATGGCCATAGAAATACAAAACCAGATTCTTACAAGGTTTCTTGCATGTTCAAGGCCAGCATGGTTATTTCGTGATTAGAATTTCGTTTAAATATATTACTAGAAATAACACTTTAATCATTTCGGAGAATTAAGCACAGTTAACTGCATATTTCATTACCAAAACATAAATTAAATATAAAGTAAACTAAATTTATATACATGTCTGTGCCATGTGTGTTTAAATATATATATATATATAAAATACATATATGTAATTAATTAATAGAGCGTGAACAAAATTGAAAAATCGTGTTTAATCGACTTGTGTTGTAACAATAACCATTGTATGTGAATAAAATATTTGCAATAATGCCACAGAAAATTTCAAAAGTTTCTCTCTCGGCTTCAAACATACTACAAAAATTTATTTAAAAAAAATTAATTAATTAAATTAAAAAGATATGCAATAAATTTTACATTAATTAACAAAATTTAAATTCTATAATTAAAAATTCATCCAGTAATGTGACAGAAAGAAATTTTGGGTGCGCAAATACGTAATTCATAAAAGACGAGATTGCCTTCTTATGATTGGCTATTGAAAAGCACACTTAACCCATTTCGTCTAAACGACGTCTTAGCCTCAGGGTTTACGAACTGGCTCAGACATGCGGTAATATTCTTGAATCAAAAACAGTTGGAAACAAGTTTTGATTCTCAGTCGCACTTATTGCGTTATGGGAGCTGTACGTCGTCTTTAGAGTTTTCTAGTAAACATCTAATAAAAATATAACTATAACAGAAAAAAAAATTTATATATATATTGTGCTACAAATCACTACAGGATGATATCACGTATAATCCTGTTAGGAACAATTGTACTTTTTACAGGTAAGTACAACTAATTTCTTAATATTTAAAATTACTTTTATGTTTTTATTATTATTATTATTGCTATAAGCTTAAGATAAGCGGTTTTCAAAGCCGATTTTTTTTTTCTTTTTTACGTAAACTTTTAATCTTCCTATGTTTATTTGTATCTTAACTGAACCATTGAATCATTATTAACATCTTTTGATCCGAAGTCAAGAGGAAAACAATTTAATGTGTTTAATAAGACCAACGATTATAAAGTTAATAAATTTTCTTATTCGTAAATAAAAGTGACACATACGATGCACGTAATGAATGTAAGTTATCTCAGAGGTAATTTAATTGATTAAAATTACTTATTTAATTTATATAATTTTATGTACTGTATAAAACGTGTAGTACGTAAAAATATATACTAGACGAATATATATATATATACTTGAATATTTTATGTGATTATTTATTTTTAAACAGAGCAAAATGAAAATAAAAGTCTGTATTAAAGCAGTTTCGTTCTGCAACATTTCTTAATCAGGTTTGGGTAGTTTATTACTTGAAATTTATTCTGAAAGTTTTTATATGGAAACTTTTAATATAAAAATTTATGAAAATAAACATTTTGATAAACATTTATCAAAATAATTAATATATTAAAAAATGCAAAAAATTAAATTAAATTTGTAAGCAATGCTCAAATATGCTCGATGTTTATGTTGAATTTATGGAATTTTAATTGATTTTTTTCTATAAATTGTAGAGGTATATTTTAATGGAATCTATTATTTCGAAAGTATAATGTGTGTGTATATATATATTATAGTTTAACATGAAATTGATTTAGTTTGAATCAGGTTTAAGGTATCTATCATCTCAAAGTTAATTGCATCTAGAACAATACTTATACTCATCTTTCCTCTTCCATTTTCCAATACAATGAAAGATTTTATATTATTTAATACAGAAATTGACTTCTGATTAAAGGCTGTATAACAGCTGTATATGGAAATTATCCCGAAATAGTTCGCGGAAAAAAACGAATATTTTTCAAACCGGAAGCAGAAGAATATAGGCCAAGCGGCATTCGATTCTACGTCACAGTTACCACCGAGACACGTGCTTTTAAGAATTTTTATTAATTTAAATTGTTTTTAAATGTTAAAATTTTGATTAACAAACGTTTAAAACTAATATTAATTTAATATTAGAAGTTTGAAGAAATTCTATAGTTTAAACGAATCGACTGGGAGATTCTTTTATCGTATTCGTCTCTAAAAGGCGAAACGATTCCGTAGGAGGAATGTTTTGATTTTATTTTAACTTTCATTTTTAAAGGAAAGTTAATTATATTCCATTTATGCCGGTAGGATCATGTATCATCATTTTAGACAGGGTATAGACTAGCGGGTGTCACTCTTTTCACCTTTTGTCCGACTCCGAACCGGTTGTTTGTCGCAGTATATACGAACCGGTCAAGACCGCAAATTTTTCCCCCATCTACCTGCTGACCTAAATATCGCAGTCAACGTACTTGAAAGAGAAAAACCTGTTCTTGCTACTCGGTAGGATTGGAATGTCGGCAAATTGACACTATAAGGCGTCGTCCAAGTTTCAATTTGAAGGAGAAAGCGTCCTTTAACAAATAGTTAAGCGCCTTAAATACAAAATCGGTAATTTTCTCCAATTAAAATAAATCATGCTTAACGAATCGGTTAATGACATTTATGAATTGTGTTTTTGTTTCCCCTAAATTTAAATTAATTTTTATTTGAATATTATTAAAATTTATTTAGCTTTATGAAAACTTAATAAGAAAAAATCAAAGGTAATGATGGCAAGAAGAAGTATAAAGCATCAGTAGTTATCAGTAGACAAAAAGGGAAATTGCCTGGGGCCCCCAAGCCAATCTTTTATAAAGAAAAAAAATCTGTTTCCTCCAAAACATTATCCGAATAAAAATGTCTAAAGTCAACATTGTACGTAAGGCCCCTAATTCAAATTTGCTTGGGGGCCCACGCGCCACTGTAAAGCATCATTATATTTTGGGATGAGTAATGCTTTCAAGACCCTACTCTTAGTGATCATAATCATTCAAAATTAATGTATTTTCTGAATATAAAAATAAATAAATAAAACATGAAAGAAATGTTTTACTTCGAAAGAACTTATTTTTTTTTTAAAAAAAAGAGCGTGTTTTTCCACTGTATATTATATGTAAACTTGAATAATTATAAGAAAAATTATACCAGTAGATCTATTAATTGATTTTAAAGTTTTTAAATTGAATTTTATCGAAAAATATTTAGGTATAAAGGTGAAGGCAAATCGAATTTTTATAAATCAAAAATGCTTATTAATTTTTTTTATTCAACATTGACCCGTGACATTCAGTAAAATTCTCTAAACATAAGAAGATGATGCATGGCCATAGAAATACAAAACCAGATTCTTACAAGGTTTCTTGCATGTTCAAGGCCAGCATGGTTATTTCGTGATTAGAATTTCGTTTAAATATATTACTAGAAATAACACTTTAATCATTTCGGAGAATTAAGCACAGTTAACTGCATATTTCATTACCAAAACATAAATTAAATATAAAGTAAACTAAATTTATATACATGTCTGTGCCATGTGTGTTTAAATATATATATATATATAAAATACATATATGTAATTAATTAATAGAGCGTGAACAAAATTGAAAAATCGTGTTTAATCGACTTGTGTTGTAACAATAACCATTGTATGTGAATAAAATATTTGCAATAATGCCACAGAAAATTTCAAAAGTTTCTCTCTCGGCTTCAAACATACTACAAAAATTTATTTAAAAAAAATTAATTAATTAAATTAAAAAGATATGCAATAAATTTTACATTAATTAACAAAATTTAAATTCTATAATTAAAAATTCATCCAGTAATGTGACAGAAAGAAATTTTGGGTGCGCAAATACGTAATTCATAAAAGACGAGATTGCCTTCTTATGATTGGCTATTGAAAAGCACACTTAACCCATTTCGTCTAAACGACGTCTTAGCCTCAGGGTTTACGAACTGGCTCAGACATGCGGTAATATTCTTGAATCAAAAACAGTTGGAAACAAGTTTTNCTGAGCGAAATAAAACAGTTTATAGAATTCATATTTAAATTTTATAAAAATTAAAGTATAATTTATAAAACTGGAGTATATTATTATTAAAATATTGCAGTCATTCAAGTGATTTCGAATTATAACTTTTGATATATACAGCTCCTATTACCATAATTTTCTCTAATTATAAAAGGAAAAATTAATTATTTTATTGGTTTTTTTAAACACGTATTTATAATCTTTTAACGTAATTATTGCATTTTAATTTTACCAAGTGTAGCCAATTGAAGATAAATTAAAATCAAATAAGCATAAGCCGATAAACAGAATTTAAAGTTTGTCAACAACATTTTCAATCTAATAAAGATTTAGAATATATTTAAGATTCAAAATGTTTTCGAATGATTGATTATGCAAGTCGAGATTCTTGCATAATCAATCATTCGAAAACATTTTGTGCCTGTTCGTTTTTTATTTTGTATATTTTGTGCTTGTTTTTTCACGTTAAGCTTATTCTCTCGGATCAAAAAGTTATTTTACTTATCAGTATTGAAAATTTATATTGATTATACTAAATATTGAATAAAAATTTCCTATGATCTAAATGAAAAAATTATTCGAATAATGAAATTACATTGTTTAATAACATTTTGATTTTAGTAGGATAATCTGACTCCCATTTAAAAACGTTTTGGCAAATGCTAGTAAAATCATTAAATATATATTCATATTAAAAAAAAAAAAAAACATCTAGATCAATTATAGTTACTATGGTAAAGTTTTGCTTATGATTATAAAATATCATATTTTTTAAAACTCTTTTCTCCCTCCGGGTATTAGGGGCTCTTTTCAAATTCATCGTGAGTTCGGCCAGGCACGTATACCTGGCCGAACTAACGATGGCCAATCGGATGATAAGAAACGGGGCCTGACATAACCAAAATGGACCTCCCGAAAAAAATTCCTAAAGTTTTTCGATCTCCACGATCCCAGAACGGCTGGCTATCTTGCTCTTAATCGCATCTGTCATCCGGCCATCTAGTATCAAATTTAATTAAATAAGTGTTCTTTTTTTGACGGACAGTATGCTATTTAAAAGACAACAATAAATTTAATGAATTACAGAAGTATAGATCGTAACACCAGACGTAAGTTCCGGTAACAATTTTTAAATGTATATAATTAAAAATTTTAAATAAACTAACAACAAAATAAACGAATATAATATACGGTTTGCTCATATTATTATCAACAACTTTTTATTTTCTACTATTCAGGAGTGGCGGCATGGAAACGCATCGTGCTTTCACTAGGAGGGTCCGGATTCGATTTTCTCTTGTAACATCTTATTTATTTTTAAACAGAGCAATTCTGACCTTTAACTCTAATACTAATATAAAAAAAAGTCTGGTATTAATATTCGAATATAACGTCATATGTATTTTTTAAAAGTAAATTCAGGCCAATGACGTCAAATGTACTGATTTTCCCACGACAATTTATTCAGAAATTATTATAAGTAATTAGAAATAATGTAAATTGTAAACATTTTTAATTTATTTTAATGACTCGTGATATTAATTATAAATAATATTTTAAATGATACTACTGAATTTAATTACAAATTAACCTGACAAAAGGCTAACTTTATAAACTAAATCTGCGTAACAAACTTCACTCAGAACTGGCGATTTGTAGAACCAGTTTGGTGTAAGAAACCTTTTAACGTACGATACTCAATACGTATAAATTTATACATAAACAGAATATTAGATTAATTAAAACGTTTTTGAATAATATTTTGCGCCTTGTGTATTTTTTTTAACGACTGAACTATTCTTATCAAAACATAAATAAGTTTATAAAAAGTCTCACTACAAAAAATTAATATACCTGACCGCTATCACTAATGCCAAAAAAAAGGTTATAAATAAATTGAATAGTGCTGTAGGCATTCGATATTATATATATATATATATATATATTGTACCGAACATGAATACTATATATAGGCCTATATATTGTATTGGTACATACTATACATGAATGATTAAATACTGTATATCTATATTATAACTTAAGTATGATATATAAACATTCGTATACAGTATTTTCCCCATAAGAAAAAAAAGTTTTATTTTGTAACGTAAATGATTTTGCGATATCTAATGGCTGATAACGGTTACAAACAACAATTCAGCGATTTATTACTTCGTAAGTGTATTTAAAACAAGGCCAATTGGTTGTTGACTATAGTCATTTCCTCTTGGACCAGTAATTCTAAATTTTCACTTCAGGCGATTAATTAAAATTTTTCATGAGATTGTGTAATAAAGTTCATATTTTTTTTTCTACATTTCTGACCTGCTCATAAAAAAAATGCAATAATTTACTTTCAAAACTGAGCGAAATAANAACTGTAATTATTTAATTTGTAAAGGTTAAGAGTATATAAACATTAAAAACATTTTAAAATACTCGAATTTATTCTTAAACAATTTAATTGTGCATAAGAATTTCATTTGGAAACTGTTTCAGAACGAATCTTAATTTGGATTTTCACGTATAATTCTGTTTTATTTTAAGAAATTTATCGAATGTTCGTGTAAAAATAACATTATTATCATTTGCTGTTTCATAATTATACATTAAACCATTAATGCTGTAATATCATTAAGATCGAAAAGAAAACTATAATTCTGTTCCATTTCTGTAGATTTTTCCTTCATTTTATTCTAAGTCTTTGTCTGAGAAGAGATGACCTCCTTTTATTATTATTTATTTCAACAGTTTTTATCTATTAAGGGTCTTTTCACCGAAAATTCTTAATAAATCATCACCGTAAGAACTAATGAAATAGTTATTTTAGATAAAAACAAAATGTTGTAATTTTTATTTGTAATATTCTTTATTCTTATATAACACAATAGCGATTAACAATATCAGGGCAAAGAAAAACTTAAAAATGCAAGTTTTTATCTTCCTTTAGTATAGAGGACAATGTACAACTTCGTCCTTATTCTCACGATTGATTTATTTGTCAAAAACATCATTACCTTCTAATATACTTCTAATAATGATCGTTAGGAATTGCTGTGGCAAATTTTCAATTTTTTTAAAAAGATTTACTTGTTTATTTTATACAGAGATAATGGCTTATTTTCACTTTCTAAAAATGTCTCAAATGAGAAAAGATATGCTTGGAATTTTTTCATACACGTATATATATATTTTTTCCTTATTATATGAAGTTTCTCTCTGGAGGAAAATGCAGACGAACAAGTTAATGGGAGGTTATAACATCACTGTGCAGACGGATCATGGCCCTGATCCCTGCTGTGGAATATACAAGTAAAACTTGTTTCCGTGTCATCTGTACAAATATAAATCTATAACTTTATCTTAAACTGGTTTCTATTTCTGGTTTTTCTTATTTTTCTTGTTTTTATCCTTTAAAAATATATAAAAATATTTTCTGAAATTTTATAAAAATTTGTATCTATGAAGCTTTTTAAATTCTATTGTTTTAGTTTCTTAGAACGGAATTTTAAAACCATTACATTAATACTCATATTTTGTAAAGTATTTATAAAATAAAATTACCATTAAAATTTTATTTTTCATTTAATTTTAATTATATTATTTTTCAACAGCTTTGCTTGTAGTTGATGTTTCTGCTCATGAAGTGGTAAGTTAATTACAGATCTAAATGTTTTCAAAAATGTAAGATTTACAAAATATTATTTTTAATAATCAGTACTTGAAAATTCAATAATTCTTATGATTAAACATAAATAGCAAATTGTTTCACTCAATAAAAATTAAAAAATTTTAAATTAATGAATTTTTAATTGATGAAATTAAATTATTTACATATATTTTAGGAAAAACGTCAAGCTTTTGGACAGCGTGGCAGATTTAGACAAAGGCTTCGACCTACTACAGAAGAACAGATACATAGTATTAAAGAAACAGCTGCACCTCCTCCACCTCCACCTCCGCCACCTCCTCCCACATCAGGAGTAGGAACGAATAGAAGAAGTCGATTTAGAATTAGATTAAGAGTTACAACACCAGCAGAACCCGAAGATTCTGAAGAGGAGGAGGAAGAAGAAGAAGAAGAAGAAGATTCTCCTCCTATTCAGTCAGCAGTACGTTCAGCGCCCCAGTCTCTTCCTCCTCCCGAAGAAGAAGATGAAGAAGAGATAAAAGAAGACCACGAGGAAAGTGTTCCAGATCCAAAAGATACTGTAGTGGAAACTCCAGCTCCACCAAAACCTAAGATTTTATCTTCTAGACGAAGACCTCTTAATAAATATAATCCCCCTGTCCGTCCTGTTTCGACATCTTCGCCTGTTACCAGACCTCCACCTACAAGTAAAGAAATTGTAGAAACAAAACCGCCTGTAGTAAAAACGACTTTACCGCCCACTCCGCCCCCTGCACCCGCAATACCTTTTGCCTCTCCTTTTGATGGATTATCTCAACCATCTCCAGAAGACTTACAAGAATCCATTCAACCTGCCCCACCAAAATCTCCACCATCTAATTCTCGTAAAACATTTCAATCTCGTGCAAAAGTCGAAGAACCTGAAGAATTACCTGCCCCAGTTAAGCCACAGCCAAACACCAGAAGAACACCTTCACGTTCCTTCAGACTAAGACCAGTTTCTATTAAAAGTGATGATGAGGCAAAACCTGTAAGAAATTCTCAGGGATCTAATAACAATTACAGAAGTAGACCTACACCTGCTACTAAAGATGAAGTAAAGCCTCAAAGAGCATCTTCATCACAATCTAATAGAAGAAATCAATCACCAAATTATAGAGGACGTCCGGCTTTAGATTCAGAAGATTATCCTGAAGACGAGGAAGAAGAAGTATATGCTCGACCTCCATCGAATAGTCGAAGATCGGGTTATCGACGAAGACAACATTATCCCGAAGAAGATGATGATGAATACTTTCCACCAGCTAGAGCACCACAGAAACCACGTTCATCGAGTAGAGGTCGTTATAATCAACCTTCAGATTATCAAGATGAACTTCCAAGAACACGTTCTCATTCTTCCAGACATAGATCACAAAGCCGATATCGCCCACGTCCAGTGGAAGAAGAACGTTATGATCAAATCCCAGCTAGTAACAGAAGGAAACCTTCACGGGTAAGAAATCCTTCTATCTATACAGAAGAAGAACCCGAATACATAGACGACGATTATGAAGATGAACCACCACCACCACCACCGCGTCGCCCTTCACGACATAGAACGAGGGGACGTTATCGACCTCAAACGCAATATGGTCCTGAAGATTATCCACCAGAACCACCACCACAAAAACCGCGTACAACTAGTACGACAACAACAACTACAACGACTACCACTACTACAACAACAGCAAGGCCGAATGTAACAGTTGTACCAGGAACATATCGACCTCGTTCTGACGGAAGGATCATCAATTATTTATCTGATCCTAACTATCCTAGAGAATTAATAGGTGTAGATCTTACCAATTATCCTTTCTACATCACAGTACCTGACGATATTGTATTTGATTGTGACGATCGTCACGATGGTTATTACGCAAGTGTTCCTCATTTTTGTCAAGTAAGTAGTCTTTCATTCTAAACTAAATCGCAAAATTCACTTTTAAAAAATAATCAAACAACTAATTATTTTGAAAATAATAGTTTGTTTGTTGATAAAATGCTGCAATTAGTGAAGGTCTTCCACAAAATTAATAGAAAACAATCGAATGCTTTCTATTGTTTTCTATCAATTTTGAACAAGCACTCTCTTAAGAAAACTTTTAGGTCAAGTTCTAAACAATCGTTCGACTCTCACCATTATTCTTATGTCATTTAAGTAGTAAAGCTTAACAATAAAAATGACTGAATAGTAGTTTAAAAGTATATAGTAAATGTGTCAGGAATTTTATAAAATATTTTAAAGTGAGAACAATTCAATACTTATCAGAATCTATACGGGGACTACTCTTCTTTTTTTGAAACACTTTCTGTCCTTTGAGCACTAAGAAGGGCTTTATTCATAACCATTGTGGGTTCTACCTTACCCACAATAGGAGATGCCAGGTGATGAAAGACGAGGCCCGACATATTCGGAAGAGATCACCCATGAAAAATTTCTGGGGTTGTTCATCTAGATTTTAATCCTGGATCCCCAGAGCGGTAGGCTGGCACCTTAATCACCTCGGTCATCTGATTCTTGATCTTCATTTATTTCTTTTTTCTGATTGAAATATTAGTAGCGAAGATACATAGTTAAGAATTTCTATTGTAATTTCATCATTCTTTTATAAAATTATAAATTCTTTCTTAAAAATACTGTATACTTCATTTTCTTTTAAATGACACTCATTTTTTGAGTTTTAAATATCTTTCCTCGAATATTTTTCTAACAAAAGCGTAAGTAAACATTGCAAAAAACAAATTGTATACAATAGTAAAAGGAAAATATAAAAATGATGTCATTGCGCTCCAGGTGTCCACGTTACATGACAGACAAATATGGTTTTATAATGACTTATTGATTTATTATTCAACATTTCTTAATTATTTTGATAAACTGTATTAGTATATCAATTTATTTATAATAAAAAAGAGTAAGAAAAGAATAATAAGTTTTCAAAGAGTAAATTCATAGGGTATTATCTTAAGTAGCAAAATCATAGTTTAAATATTTCATTATAAAATAATATGTTTTGCCATTTTATTATTTGCTTTCACAAGAAACTATAAAACTTCATAAACTAGAATTGTACTGAAGATGTTAATCGAGAATATCAGGAATTGTTGGCAGATTTAATGCTTGACACAATTTTTCTTGGCAACTACCATTTTATTGTTTTTATATTTTAGATTAAGCGGTATTAAATTGGCTTATATCCAATATTTAAATTAAAAAAGTAAGAAAGTAATTAATTTTGAAAAAAAATTGTTATTTATAATATCGTGCTATTCGTTTTATTTTTTTTTAAATTTTTATCATGTTTTATTTATTTTAAATAATAATTAACGTTAACCGTAATTTATTAGGTTAAAACAGCACATTTATTATTAAACTGTGTTTTAAACTAATGTGGAAAGGTATAAAGTATAAGTCAAATCGTGTTACATTATTTTTTTTGGCATGTTTATATGATTGGTTTATTGCATTACGTTGCCAGATTATGAAGTTATTGACGTCACATTCGATTAAATTATTTTTTAAAAATCTAGTTAATTATTATTTTTTACAACTTTAAAAATTTTTAAATAATTTATTATATATTTTTTTCTCGAATTTATGAAGAATGAATAATGTTTATAATAAAGTAATTTTGTTGTTTATCTTTTAGGTGTTCCACTATTGTGCTAATGGCATTCGTTATTCATTCCTCTGCCCAAATTACACCCTTTACGATCAAACGACCTTCACTTGTAGGTTTGTTAATAATGTGGACTGCGAAAAATCGCCCAACTATTACAACCGTAACGATGAGTTATATGTTGAAACTACAACGCTAAGTGATGACGAACAGGAATTATCAAAAAAGAAAAAGAAGAAAAATTAAATAGCTGGAGATCGTATTGTTCCAGAAAACAAATTATCTTTCCTATTCCGCTCGTAAGAGCAGCGGTGATAAGGTTGGCCATATCGAAACAGTAATTTTTGGAAAAGTTCTTTGATGTTTTGAAGCAGTATAATAAGTTCCCTCTCTAAAAAAAATATCACTCCAATTAAAAACTAAAAAAATAAATCTTCAGATAAAAAAAAAATATTATATTAACTAGCAAGATGATTTTTTAAAAGTTTCTTACCGAGTTTATAACCATTTTACAGTTGTTCTGGCCTAGAATTAAGTATTTATGTAACAAAATAAAATTTTTAATTATTTAAATAATATTGAAATCAACTTTTCATGTCTTTTCACTGTCTTCTTCAATATTACTGACATTAATTATGAAATTTTTAGTGAAAAATCAGATATTTTTTTTTTTATATTTCAACTTTAAGATACTAAGGATTCAGCATTATGCCACAAAATTTATTATTATAATAAATACAGTTATAATAGAAGTATTATATATTTCTTTTTAATTAAATAAATATAATCTAATTTTAGCTGTGGTAAATGAAAATATATTCAATATCCAGAAAGGTATTTTATAAAATTTAATTATCATTATTGCTTTATGAATCAGATAAAATGCAAGTCTATTCTACGCGTAAATTTCTTGTGGTGAATCAGAAAAGTTTTCGGACCATAAAAAAAGAAGAAAAAATGTTAAATTTCTTCGAATGAAGAGATAAAAAGCATATTGTTTTGATTTTCGTTGTTATATATATATATACATATATTTTTTCTTGCTTATAATAAAGGAATAGTTGCCTAGTTTGTGTATTTATTTTTTAAAGACATGCAAACAGTCGCTTTGAAATACAACAAAATATGACACGCATTATGATGTTAATATACATGTGATACTGTATATATTAGCACCATAGTACATAGAATTGCTCTGAATTATTGAGTACAATTCAACCATGCAAATAAGAACGAAAGGGCAATTTCGCAGGCGCATCTAATTGCGTTACTTAAATGGGGTCATCTTTTCTAACAAGTCAATTATGAATTGTCCTCGATAGCAAGGACGTTATTTCTCTAACAAATTCACCAATATTGCCACTTAAAAAATTAATTTTTAATCATTTTCATACTTCTAAATGGGAATAATTAGTAACTAATTCAGGCTCTGTTTTCTAAATTACAGGAATAAATGCAATTACTGTTATGTAACTTTAAATATTTTATTTTAAGTTAAAATGTATATTGAAATTTTGTACATCTTATAATGCCATTTTATATATTTTTCATATAATAGGTTGGATGTATTTCCTGAATGAATTTTATCGAAATTTCCTTTAAGCTTATGAACTGATTTCTAAGAACATCATAAAATTTTTAAATCAAATAAATTAATATTTTATAATTATTATTTAATTATAAATTTAAAATCAATAAAACTTCAGACAGATTTCATTAAATATATATTATCTAAAATCGAAAAAAAAGCTATATAAATCTGGTTTTTAATGATGAGGAAGTCATTGTTTTTGGCTTTTAGAATAATATCCTGACCTTTAACTCTAATAATAATATAAAAAAAAGTCTGGTATTAATATTCGAATATAACGTCATATGTATTTTTTAAAAGTAAATTCAGGCCAATGACGTCAAATGTACTGATTTTCCCACGACAATTTATTCAGAAATTATTATAAGTAATTAGAAATAATGTAAATTGTAAACATTTTTAATTTATTTTAATGACTCGTGATATTAATTATAAATAATATTTTAAATGATACTACTGAATTTAATTACAAATTAACCTGACAAAAGGCTAACTTTATAAACTAAATCTGCGTAACAAACTTCACTCAGAACTGGCGATTTGTAGAACCAGTTTGGTGTAAGAAACCTTTTAACGTACGATACTCAATACGTATAAATTTATACATAAACAGAATATTAGATTAATTAAAACGTTTTTGAATAATATTTTGCGCCTTGTGTATTTTTTTAAACGACTGAACTATTCTTATCAAAACATAAATAAGTTTATAAAAAGTCTCACTACAAAAAATTAATATACCTGACCGCTATCACTAATGCCAAAAAAAAGGTTATAAATAAATTGAATAGTGCTGTAGGCATTCGATATTATATATATATATATATATTGTACCGAACATGAATACTATATATAGGCCTATATATTGTATTGGTACATACTATACATGAATGATTAAATACTGTATATCTATATTATAACTTAAGTATGATATATAAACATTCGTATACAGTATTTTCCCCATAAGAAAAAAAAGTTTTATTTTGTAACGTAAATGATTTTGCGATATCTAATGGCTGATAACGGTTACAAACAACAATTCAGCGATTTATTACTTCGTAAGTGTATTTAAAACAAGGCCAATTGGTTGTTGACTATAGTCATTTCCTCTTGGACCAGTAATTCTAAATTTTCACTTCAGGCGATTAATTAAAATTTTTCATGAGATTGTGTAATAAAGTTCATATTTTTTTTTTTCTACATTTCTGACCTGCTCATAAAAAAAATGCAATAATTTACTTTCAAAACTGAGCGAAATAAAACAGTTTATAGAATTCATATTTAAATTTTATAAAAATTAAAGTATAATTTATAAAACTGGAGTATATTATTATTAAAATATTGCAGTCATTCAAGTGATTTCGAATTATAACTTTTGATATATACAGCTCCTATCACCATAATTTTCTCTAATTATAAAAGGAAAAATTAATTATTTTATTGGTTTTTTTAAACACGTATTTATAATCTTTTAACGTAATTATTGCATTTTAATTTTACCAAGTGTAGCCAATTGAAGATAAATTAAAATCAAATAAGCATAAGCCGATAAACAGAATTTAAAGTTTGTCAACAACATTTTCAATCTAATAAAGATTTAGAATATATTTAAGATTCAAAATGTTTTCGAATGATTGATTATGCAAGTCGAGATTCTTGCATAATCAATCATTCGAAAACATTTTGTGCCTGTTCGTTTTTTATTTTGTATATTTTGTGCTTGTTTTTTCACGTTAAGCTTATTCTCTCGGATCAAAAAGTTATTTTACTTATCAGTATTGAAAATTTATATTGATTATACTAAATATTGAATAAAAATTTCCTATGATCTAAATGAAAAAATTATTCGAATAATGAAATTACATTGTTTAATAACATTTTGATTTTAGTAGGATAATCTGACTCCCATTTAAAAACGTTTTGGCAAATGCTAGTAAAATCATTAAATATATATTCATATTAAAAAAAAAAAAAAACATCTAGATCAATTATAGTTACTATGGTAAAGTTTTGCTTATGATTATAAAATATCATATTTTTTAAAACTCTTTTCTCCCTCCGGGTATTAGGGGCTCTTTTCAAATTCATCGTGAGTTCGGCCAGGCACGTATACCTGGCCGAACTAACGATGGCCAATCGGATGATAAGAAACGGGGCCTGACATAACCAAAATGGACCTCCCGAAAAAAATTCCTAAAGTTTTTCGATCTCCACGATCCCAGAACGGCTGGCTATCTTGCTCTTAATCGCATCTGTCATCCGGCCATCTAGTATCAAATTTAATTAAATAAGTGTTCTTTTTTTGACGGACAGTATGCTATTTAAAAGACAACAATAAATTTAATGAATTACAGAAGTATAGATCGTAACACCAGACGTAAGTTCCGGTAACAATTTTTAAATGTATATAATTAAAAATTTTAAATAAACTAACAACAAAATAAACGAATATAATATACGGTTTGCTCATATTATTATCAACAACTTTTTATTTTCTACTATTCAGGAGTGGCGGCATGGAAACGCATCGTGCTTTCACTAGGAGGGTCCGGATTCGATTTTCTCTTGTAACATCTACCTCTATTTCAAGTTCTTATATTATAAATATTTAAAAAAATGATTAATTAAGGAATACTATAATGTTTGTTAATCATTTTTATTTATTTATTTCTAATTTTACTAATATATTTTAGCGAAATGATCGAATCCTAATGAAAGAATTATTGTATGTTATACTGTATATCATATTTATTATAAATAAAATTATTAAATTAATATTTATTAATAATTAGTTATTTACTTAATGCAGCGTAAAAGAAATTAAACATTAATTTTAAAAAATAAATACATTTTAAAAAACTATTTTTTGGCGGATTTTGTAATCGATTTTACGGATTTTAAGAATCCGGCATAAACAAACACGAGAAGAGGAAGTTTTGCAGAAATATTAAAGGAAGTAAATTAGTATGGATAAAGGTTAAGGGTAATGACTTTTTATTATTTTTTTAGCGTAAATAGTAAAATTTAAGTTATTCGGATGAATTAATTACAATTTTTAAATTGACAGTATACGTAGAATAATATATAAATAGAAAAATAGAAGATTTTTAAATGGTAGCGTGGTTTTAAAGCTTAATTTCGTCATCAATTTCAAAATTACTGAAGGATTCTGGAATGGGTGGTAAACCCCTCATTCAGAATCCACACCTTAACAAATACATGTCTTTAATTGAAAAAATTGAGCAAATTAATGTGTTATTCAATAATTTAGCTTCAAGGGGCCCATGCATATGTGAATTAGGGAGGCCCCATGTACAATGTTGACTTAAGACAGGGAATTTTATGGAAAAAATATTTTATAAAAATTTGCTTGGGGATCCTCTGTTGTCGGAGGCCCCGGGATATTGCCTTTTAAGGTCCGTAGGATGACTCGCTGTTGATGTTATTTTGTTAAAATTGTGTTGAATTTGTTGCTAGATATTTAGTCTGTTTTCCTCCCCATAAATGGGTAGGTTATGTAACAACATACCTGGAAAGAAAAATCAAAGATAAAATCTTTTAGCCTTGAGAAATATAAACTAATAAATTTTTAGGACTGTTTAGCAAGAAAATGATTGCAAATGCGAGACTGTTTAGCCAATCTTCTAACCATTTTTAATATTCTGTTTTAAGATTTTTTGTAATGTACTTGAAAAATTTACATTCCATTTATTTATGCTGTTATCTTACGATAGCAATAGTGAATGAACGAAATACGTGAGTTGGCTTTCTAAAAATTACTTTGCTAAATACAGTTTTAATCTGTCTGTGATAAGAATGGTCACTAACAAAGATACATTTTTATTTTTATTTTTGTTATTTTTATATATAATTATTAATAATTTCAGTGAATTGATTTATTTTTCAATTATTCAATTTTATGTATGAATAAACATGATCAGTTATTTAATAAATTTTTCAGATCTACAAATTCCTATTGTGTGGGTCTTGTTTTTAGAATGCCTATATTGGTATGAATTTTAACATCAAATTAGAAATACTTCTCAGTTCTTTATTATTATATCTATTTATATATGTTTGCAATGACTTTTGAAAATGTCTTATTGACAGAACAGTTTTATTTGGGAGACGTATAAAAGCAATTTTCATTCATTAGATTTTCCTGTAATTTATGACAGTTAAAATTTGACTATACTTTTCCTTTTGATTATCTAGAGTTATATTTTAATATTATTTCATTTCATATACTTGAATTTCTTTAATGAACAGATTTTAAAAATTTTATTAGAAATTCTACTTTTGTTTCATATTGCTATCCGATAAACCAATATTTTCATTTAATAATCTAATAATCCTGATTTAAAATTAACAATTTGTATGTTTATAATAAAACTAGCAAAATTTAGTTCACATAAGAATATACAAAACTGATTGTATAAATTAGTTCATACAATAAATCTACCAGTTTGAATTGCCAAATGAGTAGTAACTGCCTTATAGCCAGCAAAAATTTATTAAAAACAAATACTTTTAGTCTATTTTACACCACCTTCAGATTCTCTATCTTTTAAATAAAGAAAACATAGCATGGAATGAATATTTTAATGTTCTAACATATAACAAATTTATTTAAAATGCAAAATGCGTTAAATAATTGGAATATATTTAAAATAATATAAGTTAAAACTGAAATAAAATAATAAAATGAGGAAAGCAATATAAAATAAAGTAAAAACTAATTAAAAATATAATTTTGAAATAGTAGATTTAGTAAATTTTTGCTGGTTATAAAGTGGTTAGTACTCATTTTAAATTAGTCTAGTTTGGATATTAATTGGTTAAGATGGAATAAAAAAAATTTATTTATTTATATTAATTTCAAATTAAGTTGCACAAACTAAAAAACTTGTCAATTTTTTTAAGACTGCTAAAGACAAGGAAATTGTACAATGATAAATCAGAATTAAATAAATAAATGCATTCATATACTAATGTTTCAGTTTTCTTGTCAGGAATCATGCTATATTTGACTACAAATTATTTAGAAACAAAAGGTCATCCTCGCAAATATCATTAACTCTTTGAAGAAACAATACTGGAAACAAATTATTTGTCACATTCATTTAAGTTTGGAAGCTGAATAACCAATAACCATTTATATTTGTGTGGTGTATGAGATGTTGAATAATTGCTGGCATGAAGTTATGGCAAGAACAATAAGGAATTGTTGGAAACATACAGGTTTTTGCAAAAACTCAGGCAAATCAGAAGAAAGCATACCAGTTGTGGAAAAAAATGATAAGGAAAATTTGAGAACATCTCCTGCAGAGAGGAATTGTTTCAAATGAGGTTTTATTTGGAGATTACATCAAAGCTAATCATGAAGTCATGACACAGCACATCACTACAGATCAATAAATGATGGTTTGAAATTTTGAAATGACTGACATGCGTGACCAAATCACAACTGGAAATTATTTGTCATCAATGATTAGTCATTAGTTTAAAAGGTTCTAAGAAAGAGTTGGGTCATAACACTCAAAGGGGCAATGAGCTTTATGTAAAAAGTGTCTTTCTTTCCTATTTCTCATCTAATTCTTTCTTGAAAGTTCTCCAAAGAAAGTACAGGTAACCCCCATATAACATGGCACTTCTATATCATGGATTCACTCTAACACGGTTCAAGAATTGGTAACATTCCTGTATAACATAGTGCTTTTATAGTACGGATTAACTCTAACACTGTTCGAGAATTGGGTAAAACCCTCGTACAACATGAAATGTAATAAATTTTCACATACTTAAGTACTAATAGTTCACGAAAATTATTATTTTCATGAACTATTAGTATTTAAGTATGTAAATCTTCTTTTCCGCCTTCTGTGGATACACATAATCCTTCTCAAAACTTGTTTCAGTGTTGCCAGATCTCGATGCTTTTGATTTTGTGTTGCCAGATGTTTTCCCTTATTCCATACTTGCTTTATTCTTCATAAGTGCTTAGCACCATATAAGGAAATTTATAATGATCTTTTAACTANAATTTTTAATTGATGAAATTAAATTATTTACATATATTTTAGGAAAAACGTCAAGCTTTTGGACAGCGTGGCAGATTTAGACAAAGGCTTCGACCTACTACAGAAGAACAGATACATAGTATTAAAGAAACAGCTGCACCTCCTCCACCTCCACCTCCGCCACCTCCTCCCACATCAGGAGTAGGAACGAATAGAAGAAGTCGATTTAGAATTAGATTAAGAGTTACAACACCAGCAGAACCCGAAGATTCTGAAGAGGAGGAGGAAGAAGAAGAAGAAGAAGAAGATTCTCCTCCTATTCAGTCAGCAGTACGTTCAGCGCCCCAGTCTCTTCCTCCTCCCGAAGAAGAAGATGAAGAAGAGATAAAAGAAGACCACGAGGAAAGTGTTCCAGATCCAAAAGATACTGTAGTGGAAACTCCAGCTCCACCAAAACCTAAGATTTTATCTTCTAGACGAAGACCTCTTAATAAATATAATCCCCCTGTCCGTCCTGTTTCGACATCTTCGCCTGTTACCAGACCTCCACCTACAAGTAAAGAAATTGTAGAAACAAAACCGCCTGTAGTAAAAACGACTTTACCGCCCACTCCGCCCCCTGCACCCGCAATACCTTTTGCCTCTCCTTTTGATGGATTATCTCAACCATCTCCAGAAGACTTACAAGAATCCATTCAACCTGCCCCACCAAAATCTCCACCATCTAATTCTCGTAAAACATTTCAATCTCGTGCAAAAGTCGAAGAACCTGAAGAATTACCTGCCCCAGTTAAGCCACAGCCAAACACCAGAAGAACACCTTCACGTTCCTTCAGACTAAGACCAGTTTCTATTAAAAGTGATGATGAGGCAAAACCTGTAAGAAATTCTCAGGGATCTAATAACAATTACAGAAGTAGACCTACACCTGCTACTAAAGATGAAGTAAAGCCTCAAAGAGCATCTTCATCACAATCTAATAGAAGAAATCAATCACCAAATTATAGAGGACGTCCGGCTTTAGATTCAGAAGATTATCCTGAAGACGAGGAAGAAGAAGTATATGCTCGACCTCCATCGAATAGTCGAAGATCGGGTTATCGACGAAGACAACATTATCCCGAAGAAGATGATGATGAATACTTTCCACCAGCTAGAGCACCACAGAAACCACGTTCATCGAGTAGAGGTCGTTATAATCAACCTTCAGATTATCAAGATGAACTTCCAAGAACACGTTCTCATTCTTCCAGACATAGATCACAAAGCCGATATCGCCCACGTCCAGTGGAAGAAGAACGTTATGATCAAATCCCAGCTAGTAACAGAAGGAAACCTTCACGGGTAAGAAATCCTTCTATCTATACAGAAGAAGAACCCGAATACATAGACGACGATTATGAAGATGAACCACCACCACCACCACCGCGTCGCCCTTCACGACATAGAACGAGGGGACGTTATCGACCTCAAACGCAATATGGTCCTGAAGATTATCCACCAGAACCACCACCACAAAAACCGCGTACAACTAGTACGACAACAACAACTACAACGACTACCACTACTACAACAACAGCAAGGCCGAATGTAACAGTTGTACCAGGAACATATCGACCTCGTTCTGACGGAAGGATCATCAATTATTTATCTGATCCTAACTATCCTAGAGAATTAATAGGTGTAGATCTTACCAATTATCCTTTCTACATCACAGTACCTGACGATATTGTATTTGATTGTGACGATCGTCACGATGGTTATTACGCAAGTGTTCCTCATTTTTGTCAAGTAAGTAGTCTTTCATTCTAAACTAAATCGCAAAATTCACTTTTAAAAAATAATCAAACAACTAATTATTTTGAAAATAATAGTTTGTTTGTTGATAAAATGCTGCAATTAGTGAAGGTCTTCCACAAAATTAATAGAAAACAATCGAATGCTTTCTATTGTTTTCTATCAA